TTCGAGCACTATATCTGAAATAACTCTATAACAGCCTGAACTCTGCAAATGGTTTATCGATGGTTCACTGAATAACAGCCTGAACTTTGCAAATGGGTTACCAATGATTAAGTTTAAGTTTGACTTTGAATCTGCAATCTATGTTTCATATGTGTATTTATTTTTGTTAAATCTGAGTTGAAACCATTTTGACGTTAAATTTCACTCTATAATATTGTTTTGAATGCTTTCTGTAATATATAACTGGGCACTGTAATATTGTACATGCGGTTGAACTGTAGATGCTATGCTCGTCTGCACCCGCGTGCCGTCAACTGCAGGAAGAAGAAGTGTGGACACACCAACCAGGTTCGTACATGTGGTTTCTGTGTCCTCGTGCTGTTTTTACTTCCTTTATATCTGTTCAAAATCTAACAATTATGCTTATAGCTATTCGTACTTGTGCTTTTGCAGCTGAGGCCGAAGAAGAAGATCAAGTAGACTGCTGTTTGGATTATCTATGATAGTTGGTTTCCCTTCATGTTATTTATTTTAGTTGTTGAACATGAAAAATATGGGTCTTGACGGTTAGACATATTGCCGTACTTCACATTTTGGTTTTGATTTATTCATGGTTTCTAATTATGGACCAGTAATATTTTGTTTCCCTTGACGTTTTCGGTTCATTCTGTAGTGGTAGGGGTGTTAAACAAGCCGAGCTTTCGCTGTTGATACTCGAGCTCAGGCTTGAGCTTTTATCGAGCTGAGGCGAGTTCTACTCATTTAGTTTAACGGGCATATAAACAAATTTGGGTTTGACTCAGCTGCGCAAACACAAGTTTGGGTTTAACTATTATCTATAATAGTTGGTTTCCATCGATGTTATACAATCAATAACATATTTAGAAAACCATTGAAAAAAGGGATTAAAAAAAGGAAAAAGACAAGGACATGTTATCCTCCATATATATAGTGGTGAATCAAATTCTTGGCACTAACAAAATTCGCGCATTTTCCCAATCTTTTCCAAGAATAGGGGAATCAAATTCTCGTTGGACAAATAATCCGCGACGAATTATACAGTGGACTAATTTAATCAAGGTTCCCTGTGCACCCACACCTGATTTTTTAACGTTGGATTATACATATTTTCATATAACTAGTAAAGTGCACGTGCAATGCACGTGGTGACAAATATTTTTGGCCGATAAGATAAATCAATTAATTTATTAAATATATGATTGCAAGAACAAAATGAAATATACAACAAATAAACTCTTAATATAAATTTTTTGTTAAAAACAACATAATGATGTC